GTCTATTAAGGATGGCCTCTTCAATAAACTTTTCTAAGATCTTCCCCAGGATAGAGGTCAGGTTGATGGGCCTGTAGTTTGCAGGATGCACTTTCCTCCCTTTCTTGAAGATCGGCACCACATTGGCCTTCTTCCAGTCTTCGGGCACTTCACCAGAGTGCCAGGAGCTCTCAAAGATCGGTGCCAGGCCTGAGCTATGATGCTCACCAGCTCCTTGAGTACCCTGGGGTGTAGATCATCAGGGCAGGCTGACTTGAAGGTATCCAGCCTCTCAAGGTGTTCCTTCACGAGGTCAACATTGATGGAGGGCAGGGGATCTCCCTTACCCAGACCTCCCTGTCCCGTAGCGGGCATGGGCGCCCCATGGGGCTGATGAAAGACTGACACATAGTACCCATTTAATAGGTTGGCTTTTTCCGGGGCGTCAGTTGTCAGCTGTCCCATCTGGTTCAGCAGGGTCCAATGTTGCCCTTGCTTTTCCTCTGGCTCCCCACATATCTGAAAAAGGACTTTTATTGTCCTTAATACTTGAAGCTAGTTGGAGTTCAGTTGCAGCCTTGGCTTTCCTGGCTTGCTCCCTGCAGAAGCTAGAAATTCCCAAATAAATGCATCTTTCCTTTGAAGAGACAGGCATGTTTCATGTATGGGAGCTGCAATGACAGCTGCTAGTCCTTCCTTTCTATAAACTGCCTTAACTGTACAGTTGGAAAAAACCTTTTAAAACATCTTAGGCAGTATTTTTGTTCAGCAGATTTCTTTTCTATATTTCAGTGTAATAAACGCTTCCCTGCCTTGAAATGAACAGAAACGAGTTAAATAAAAATCCTTGCAGGTTCATGTAATGTATGGTATTCAGTACCAAGGTGATGACATCTTTGCACCAGACTTGTTTTTTTTAGAAAGCCTGTCATTTCCAACACCGCTTGAAACAACCTTTCGCACAGACATTGGGAACGCGGGTGCAGACAGCCGTTTTGTTAGTGTTTTATTCGCTTACTGTCTAATTCTGCACAGACAGATTTATGTGGGACTACCTAAAATGTCAGGGAATGAATGATGCTTGTTTGTCCCGGTGTTCCCACTCTTGCTATTGCTAAGTTCTAGCAACAGTGGGGAAGAACTTGGGAAAGTTTTAGCATAGACGTGAGCTAAGGATTTTTGCAATCTTTGCTTGAATCTGTCACAAAAAGGATGTTGTAATAAAGAACCCTTGGACAGCTACTAAAAATGGAATAAAGACTGTTACTTGCTATACACAGATTCTCAGTGAATGTGGGCTGAACCTAGCTACCAGAGCCAAATAGCTGGGTATTCAGTTTTTTGTAATAAAAAGAGGTTTTATTTTTTTCAGTTATTTTAATTGTCTGAGAGGAAAATAAAATACTGTCATTTCTGTTTTAGGATCAAAATTCAGACCGAGCAAGTGTTTCATCTCTTGGAGCCCTGGATTCAGAATCTACCTCTCTAACTGATGAAGACGTCTGCAATGACTTAGAAGGTGCTTCTCCTCCTCAAGAGAATAATGTCACTTCAGAAATTAAGGGAATGGGTCTCAGTAGAACAAGCCTAGAAAGCTCAGCTTCCCATGATGGCTCATCCAAGCAGTTTGATCAGTCTGGTAAGAGATGCTTTCTGTTTGCATTAAATTTGCAATCTGGCGTTCAAAACTGGGATGTTGGAAGCAGAGGGTCCTTTTCTTACTTCGGGATTGTGGTAGACATTAGTCCTTTAGTGCAAATGTTTCTCTCCGCCTCTGTACAAACTGCTGTCTCACTGCACCATATGCCCATGCCCACCTGTATCCCAGCTGCAGTCATTTGCATCAGACTGTCTTCTGGGTCTGTAAAACTGCCAGCAGAGTGAATGTCACAGGTGGGACTTCTTGGTGACACCTCTATACAAATAACAATAATTGTAAGATCCTCTTAACCTTCTACCTTATTTTTTCCAGGACTTAGTCCTGCACATCCCTAATATATTTGGTAGCTAACAGAGAGAACTGCATATTATATAGCCTTTTCTTAGCTGAAATGCAGAAGCCTTGAACAAGGCTTGCTGATTGGAAGCTCACTTACTGTGCCTTGCTTTTTCATCTGTATAGAAAGTGTTACTAAAAATATAACCACGGTGCAGTCTTGTATAGATAATTTTTCAGTGTGGAGAGTAATTCAGGCTTTAACTGAATTGCCTCTAATCTTCCAAGGAGATTTATGGGTGGGTTTTGGTATAAAATACAGATTCTCCATACCAGTCACAAATGAGTATCGTCTTTTAAGCAAAGCCAAACTAAAAGGAAGCGTGGTTCAGTGAGCAAGCATGGGACTGATAGGAGACATAGGTATAATTTTGGGCTGTCTCCCAGAGTCCATGAATGTCCCTAGAACTGTTTTCTGTTGGCATGAACACCCCCCCATTCTGTTCATTTAGCCCCTCGTGGTGAAGAACAAGCCCTTTGTTTGCTTTTAAAAGGACAGGCAAAGCCCCCTGTAGAGAGAGCTCCAGGAGCATTATGTGTGTCTGACAACCCTGCTGCCTGTTGCACAGCAAGAAGCAGAGAAGCCCACTGCTGCTAGAGTAGGGATCGAGGAGAGTTTTCTGGAGTGGAGGGATCTGCATGCGAGGCAAGCAGGAGACTAGGAAGTGGGCGTCTGGGAGGAATGGAGTTCTCCTTTACAGAGTAACTGCAGCCCCACGACTCTTGGGAGCAGTGTGTACATATGGGTGACAGGCACACTGGGTTGAGGGGGGTGACAGCTGCATGCTCTGCTCCTTGAGCCAGATCTGTGTGGGTCAAGGCAGTACTGTGCAGAGACAACTGAGGCAGCTCTGCCTGCCATAGCTAAGGAACTAGAAAAAGCTTCCTGCACTGGCATGGGGCTGTGCCTGGAGTACTTCACTCCTCCGTAAAGCAGGACTTACTAGCACAGGCACAGCAGCACTTTAATGCAGCTCTGCTGTTTCAGTTCTGGAAAGCTAGCTGGGACTCTCTGCACACCACTGATCCGCATTGTGTAGCCTCCAGCGTGCGCATAGCACATTCGCAGCTAGCTGAAGTGCCTCTGCTTGCCATTGTACCGTGAGGTATAGACAGGGGTCTCTCCCCTTTTGGCACTGGAGTCCTCTCTTGGTTGGGTGCAACAGCATGGGGCCTTTGTAGTGAGGAGGTGAAAGTAACTGCATTTGTGCCAAAACGCTTTGCACTCCAGCACGTATCTGGATGCGGACAAGCAAACATGCACTGTTGGCAGCTGTCATCGTGTTCATAGTGAGTTGCTGGGGGTGGTGGGTGGTTTGAGCAAGACTGCAGCCACTTGGTACTTCCTCCATCTCCACAGCCATGCTCTCAGACTGTTTCTTTCATCTCTCCTTCATGTTGACTCATACAGGAAATAAAAGCCTCGTCTTAGCTATTGAGTTGCATCTTTCATAACTTCTACGTATCCTGGGGTTCCAGGCTTGGCAGCTCGCTGCCATTGGCACAGGGTAGGCAGAGCCAGCAGCTGCCATCTTAATGACTTACCCTGTTCCCGAGAGAAGAATTTTACTGCCTGCATGTTGCTTGGTTAAACTGTACTTGTAATAAATCCAAAACATCTACTAATAAAAGTCAATCTATTCAGTAGCAACTAATACTGTCCTTTGTTTGCCAATGAATAGGCTCCCTGTCGAAGTTCCCCTTGCCTGACAAATCGGAGCTGATATCTTCCTGCAGCACAAGCAGCACCAGCGTGTTCCAGAACTATGCTATGGAGGTACAGTCTGACTTCTCTTTGCCTTCATTGTGATGCATGCAGGAAGGCTGTTATTCCTTAAACACAAGGCTCAGTAAGGTGAAGGAACGGTTGATATGTAAATGCTGCTTTAAACTTCATTTTAAAAGTTTAAAAAAAACCACCTCGGCATAGCAGGAATGGGAAGGTAATGCTTCCAGTAACAGAGCAGGCTTTGGCTCCAATCCTGATTACTCTTGCAGTTCATCATCTTACTGCTTAAGACAGTCTTGCCCTGATGAATCTTTCTGAGGACTTTTGGAATTAGTTGAGTTGGAGGAGCAAACCATAAAGTAGACCGTTGTCCCAGCCAAATGAGACATGCACCTGCTATCACTCTTGGCCTTGCTTCTCCTTAGGAGCAGAAGGCTGGACACTTCACATGCACATTGGTAGCACATGGGTCATCCAAGCGAAACCTCAATTCTGGGAGCACCTTGATCCAGAAGTTTTTCAGCTTCCTCTTCTGTGAAGGAGTTTTGGGTTTTTTTCCCCTACTTAGCAAATCCTTCCCACTCTTTTCGATACCTAGAAAAAAGTTTACCGGGAAGATCAAATACACAATACACTTGTTCATAGGTGCATCAGTTCATGTCTGAAAGGGGGGTGACCTTGCTCTTCACTGTGTTCAGATAGTGCAGAACTTGCCTTATTTACCAGTGTGGTATCCAGAGAAAAGGCAGAAGTGTAGGCAGTCCAAATAATTGTGAGCTGTAAAATATTTATGCTTAACTAAGACTGATCAGAGTGACTTGCCCTGGCTTGGAGCAGAGGGCAGGTGAGCAGCTGCATCACGCTTGGACACATCTGCCACCAGAGTCTTTGAGGGGGAGGTGGTAGGTAAAACACAATACCCTGGCAAAGCAACATTTTCAGAAGAAACTGTACAGAGAAGTCCAGGTTGTGTTTGATTGGCTGACAATCTCTACTTATCCAGCCCTGAAGAAGCTGGACATTTAGTCTGAACTTTTCCAGGAGCCCTAGGTGCATCCACACATGCAGGTATGTGTGCTTGCAGCAGCTCAAATAAGAGCGGTACAGTTTTGAGCTGGGGATGTTTGACTCAGCGCATGAGCCTGGACATGCACTTTGGTGTGGGGCAAGTTGTGCAGCTTGAGGCCAAATAACCCTGCTCAACTCCTCCTGGATCTTCAGCCAGCAGGAGCTAGAGCCTGGGGCTAGCACCTGTGCTGGCCGCAACAATATAAAAAGCTGCCCTGGCTACTTGTTCTCACGAGCTTCTGGGGCCCGGCCAATTGGTATGTGGGGGCACTACCCCTTTTGCCAGCTGGACTGCTGCAGCAGTCCTGACAGAGTTGCCTGCACTCGCTACCCAGTGCAGCAGTCTAGAAGTGGTGACTGCCTGGCTATGACCTGCTGCCACCTGTGACATGTGGCCCCAAGACTGTGCACCTGCCAGACCCAGATGGGGACTGCACGGGGGCAGCAGAGGGATCTGCACCTCTGGGCCGGCTGCCACTGGGCTGCAGCTGCACAGTTGGCCTTTGTCCAGCACCGCTGCCATGTGTGCTGCTGCCCTGCCATCTGGGCAGCTATTACCTGGAAGATGTTCTCAGTGTGGTGGCCTGCTTTGAACTGTCAAAGCATGTCCTTCTGGCCTCAAGTGACCAGGAAGTCAGCCACCTCCAGCTGGGTCCCAGCTGCCAGTCCTGAGCAGGCTTCTCTGCCTGGATCCTGCCACTTGCCTCCTTAGCAGGAGTTCTGGTGTCCCCTATTTAAAAACTGCAAAGTCTCTGATTAAAAAAAAATCCCAAAGTCATTCTTTAAGATCCCCCAAAATCCATGTTCTCCCACAATTAAAACAAAAGAGCACTATATATATGGAGAGAGGGAGAGCGAGATCCATTGGGCAATGTTTTATTGATATTTTTACAGTGTAGCTCTGCAGGATTAAAAGTAGCTGCAGAATTATACTAACCAAGTGCTGTATACAGGTCCTCATCTCAAGCTGTTCGCGCTGTCGAACCTGTGACTGTCTGGTTCATGATGAAGAAATCATGGCAGGTTGGACAGCCGATGACTCGAATCTCAATACCACATGTCCCTTCTGTGGTAATCTGTTCCTGCCCTTCTTGAGCATAGAAATCAGAGATCTCCGACGACCCGGACGGTAATAATTAGTTGTTTGTTTTTCACTGAAGGTTTTATGTGCTCTATTTTTCAGAAAACTTTTTAACATAACCTTAACTCTTCACTTTCCCCATAGATACTTTCTGAAGTCCAGTCCATCTATAGAGAATATGCAACTGCTACCACCATTTTCAAATCCACCAAGAAAGGCCTGTAACTCTTCTGCCACTGCTGGTCCTGCTATATCTGTGGTGTCCATTCAAGATGATGATAACACAAATTGGTAAACATGGTGCATTTTCCATAGCTTGGTATTTCATGGGAAATTACTGGCATCCTTGTGGGCATGCATGTATGTGTATTCCCCTTTGAGGAAACTGAATCTATTTTATTGCTCCTCACTGCTTCTTGGGGGTTGGACGTCTGTCAGCTTTTCTGGAGATGTTTCCATTCCTTCTCTGACAGGGGCAGGCACAAACAAAAGCCCATGCAAAATTCAGTTTAGGAATTGATTATGGCCTGTGTCCATTAGTTAATGCATGGGGAGAGTTCTTCACCTGAGCAGTAGTGGCAATATTGTTGACTGGATTGAGTCTGAGGTATCATTTTGAGTCCTGGGGCTATCGGTTGCAGTGAGGATAATGATCCAGTGGGTGGATCCTCTGGTTTGTATCTCTGGTCTGTTTTAGCAAGCAGAGTATTTAGAAACACAAAGAGAAAAACATGAGGTTCACTGAGGACAAGTGCAGAGTCCTGCACTTAGGGCAGAAGGATCCCATGGACTGGTGCAGGCTGGGGAATGACTGGCTAAGAAGGAGCTATACAAAAAAGGACTTCAGGGTTACAGTGGACAGTAAGATGGATAGGAGCCAGCATTGTGCCCTTGTTGCCAAGAAGGTCAAGGACATCTTGGGCTGCATTAGTAGGGGCATTGCCAGTAGATCGAGGGAAGTGATTATTCCCCTCTGTTCAGCACTGGTGAGGCCACGTCAAAAGTCCTGCGTCCAGTTTTGGGCCCCCCACTACAGAAAGGATGTGGACAAGTTGAAGAGAGTCCAGCTGAGGGCAGTGAAAATGGTTCAGGGGCTGGGACACATGACTTGTGAGGCGAGGCTGAGGGACCTGGGCCTATTTAGTCTAGAGAAGAGAAGACTGAGGGGTATTTGATAGCAGCCTTCAATTCCCTGCAGGAGGTTGCAAAGAGGATGGAGCTGGGCTGTTCTCAGCCGGGGCAGATGACAGAGCAAGGAGCAATGGGCTCAAGTTGCAGCAAGGGAAGTTGAGGTTGGATATTAGGAAAAACTTTCTCACTAGGAGGGTGGTGAAGCTCTGGAAGAGGCTCCTCAGAGAGGTAGTGCAGTATCCATCCTTGGAGGTTAGGACTCAGGTAGACAAAGCCTTGGGTGGGATGATCTAGTTGGGGTGGTCCTGCTTTGAGCAGGGGGTTGGACTAGATGTGACCTCCTGAGGGCCCTTCCAACCCTCATTTTCTATGATTCTATGAAAGCTAACTTTTCCCCCCCAGCAAATCTGAAGAGCAAGACAATACCTGTGCTAGAAGCATCCAGATCCCTTCAGGAAGAAGGCAAAATCCCGCAGGACCAGAATGTCCAAACCACCCTGTAGCACGAAGTATCAGCACTTACGGTCCACTGGAAGAAGATGAGAAGAAGAACCGGAAACTCAGTCACCTTATTCCCACTGGCAGCCTGCCTGCCACTTTGCAAGGAACAGTGCGTGATTTTGTTTCTAAATTTAAGTGACAATATGTTAAGTATGCAGTAGAGTTCAGTAATGCGGGTAGTGCTAAAGTCACCTGAAATGACCCTCCTAAAGTTTTCAGCAGAAATGAATGTTGTTTATATTCATAATTTCAGCTAGTGGATTTGGGGGTGAGATACTTATAGCTAGCTACATTCCATTTAATTCCATTTCTTTCTTTCCTACAATAGGATCCCCTGGCGCTAGAATGGCACTTACCCAGTCCAGACCCTATAACCGTTCCTTACCTGAGTCCTTTAGTGGTATGGAAGGAGCTTGAAAGCTTACTTGAAAATGAAGGAGACCGTGCGATAACAGTGCCAGATTTTGTAGACCATCATCCTATCGTGTTTTGGAATCTGGTGTGGTACTTCAGGCGGCTGGACCTCCCTAGTAATTTACCAGGATTAATTCTTTCTTCTGAACACTGTAATAAAAACTCAAAGGTATGGAAGAGATAGGGTGGTATTGAATTATGTTAGTCTTTCAGGGGTATAAATTGTAGCTGCATTGGTCTAAGGACACAGGTAGACAAGGTTCTTTGGGTAAATGTGATATCTTTTATTAAACCAACTCAAATAGTTGGAAAAATTTTTCTTTGCAAGCTTTCAGGTATAAATACCCTTCGTCAAGCTGAGGAAGCAACTGCAGTTGGTGTGTCCTCTTCCTGGCAGTAACTAATCCTAATCCTTCATAATCTTTATATGTAGGAATAATTCTTAGGGCCTGGGTAGGTGACATTTGCATTTGTGTAATCAGCATTATACCAGTGTAAAACGATAGCATACAAATGATTCCCCAAACCAGGGCAACTTTGCCATAATCCTGTTGAGGTCCCCCCCCGAAGGAGTCAGGTCAAATCCCACTGGTCTGCTTTACGTTTCTTTAGGTGTTGTCTTTCCATAGTTTATCCTGGGGTAAAGCAGACAAGCTATGTCCTGCAGCATGGTGCGGTGACAGCCGCCTGGGATCAGAGTTAGCCCATGATAAGCTGCACTTCTCTTATGTGCCCCTGTGAAACTTGCAGCAGTGCAAAACCGCCAGAGAATCAGTGTGTTCCTGCTCTGATGCTGGCTCTTACAGCCTGCTGGACCCAGTCCTCAGCTGCTGCAGATTGTCACCACTACATTTACTTCAGCTGGAGCAGTCTTTCCATTTCTTAACTCTTGACCTTGGGCCCAGCTGGGCCTGCACTGCATGGAGTGCTCTGGCGAATTTTCCTGTGATGCTGCGCTGCCAGGGAGATCACATTCCAGATGTTTTTGCTTTATGCTGCTAAATTGCATGGAGTTGCAGGGAGGGGGTATTGATTCTGGAAGGGCAAGAAGGAGAGAGATCCTGACATCATTTGCACAGCCCTGTGCTTTGGTCTTCATGGTTTGGATTCTGGTACCACTTGGAATCAAACAGTGATTTCTCCGTGTACGTTTTCTACAGAGGGTTACAATGAACTCTTCTGTACAGCATAGTGGTAGGTCAGCGGCTATCAGTCACATACGGAAGACGGGTGCTGTGATGGTGTAAGAAAGTAATCCTGTAGACTCATGTCTTCATTTTCTCCTTCAGATTCCACGGAATTGCATGTCGGAGGACAGTAAGTATGTTCTCATTCAGATGCTGTGGGACAACATGAAGCTGCACCAGGACCCGAGGCAGCCCCTGTATATTCTGTGGAACGCCCAGAGTGAGTTCCTTCCTTCGGGGCATGAGTCGTTTTGGTTCGGGGCATCTAAAGAATGCCTGTGTGGTTTGATAGTCGAGAGAGATATGCTACTGATTTTTGATTACACCGCTTTCTTTGTCTTGCAGGTCAAAATCGCACTCTTTTGTTTGAGAGTGAGTGTTATGTTCGGTGTTGCTATTGCTAGTTTCTGTGACTTTTTTTTGTGTGGGCATGTGTTTTACAGTAGACCTCAGCTTTCAGCATATTGCTTGAGCATTTTTTTTTTCCTGGTATCTTGGTTTCAAATTGTAGACCAACATTTCTAGTCAGTTGTTGTTTTTTTTGAATAGCGGAGGGGGGCAATAGAGAGGAATCTCCAGTTCCTCCCTGCGGCCTGTGCTTTCTTATTTTAGAATTAAGGGTCAGCTGTTTTGTTTTTGTTTAGTAAGTAATTGGTCACCCTGCAAACCGTACAGCCGGACCGTGGTTGGTGGGCCTGTTTCTGGCTGTACCCTTTTGCTTTTCTTCTGTATACCTGTTCCATTTCTTTTACTTTGATGCTGTTCTGAGTTGGTGCTTATCTATTATTTTTTGATAACTTGTATATCATGTTTTTTGTCGCTTTTCACTGCGTTTTATTTTTCTCATGCCTTTTTGCTGCATGCTTCTTCTAATGGCGATTGGGGTCTTTTTCTTTGCAGCCCAGAAGTATCCAGTAGTCCGTTTACTGCAGAAAGATGATGACTCCTTCAATCAGGAGCTCTTGAGAAGCATGGTGAAAAGTATCAAGATGAATGATGTCTATGGGCCTATGAGTCAAATCCTGGAGAGACTGAACAAATGGCCACACATTAAAAGGCAGAGGTAGGAATACACGTGACATTGAAGCAGACTTTTACAGTAAGCCCAGTATTGCCGTTTGGAGAATACTTCCAATGGTTTACAACTGTCCTGTGTGGTCAGCAGTGTTTGCATGCACGTGTCGTCTAATGCTCAATAATTTTAACAGTAAAAAATCCAGAAAAGGAAATATCTTCAGAATGCATGAGCAAATTCGGCATAAAATTATTTTAATTTCATTTTCTTTATTCTCTTTCTCTTTGCTTTTCTCCCTTCTTTTTTCCTGCTGCTGCATTGGGGCGGGGGTCAAGAGGAAGAGAGGCGAATCACTTTCTTTTGTTTGGACTTTTTAAATTATTTTTCCCTACTGGGTGAATGGAGTAAAAAGTAGGAGACATGTACGCTTATTAAAATGAATAAATTGTTAGTCCCCAGCGTAAAAGTTTTTTGTGGAAAATCCTTTTCTGTCAAAGTGTTTTTTCTTAAAGCCAAGTGAGGGAGGGAGAGACTTGACAGTTTTCTCTGTTCAGTGTGTGCGTGAGCCAGCACTTGTACAGTCTGCGTCTGTGCTCGTGTGCAGACCCTCATCTGGCCTCTGCTGATTTCCCTGGGGGGTTGATCAGGCCTTTAGATGATGAACTCCTACTGGGGGGCAGCACATCACTTTGCTCATGTGGTTCAGTAGGTAGGACTTGCCAAGGTGGGATTTTGTAACTATTGTACTTGTATAACTACTGCACATTTCCTTAAGTTTTAACCTGATGTTTGGAATGGTCAGAATTGTCCACCCCTCCCAGACTGTTGTATGAGATGATTTTTCTGGTTTTACATTGACGTTTCTTTTACATTTTAGGAGCCTGTATAGAGAGATATTATTTCTTTCCCTTGTTGCTCTAGGAAGAGATAACATCGATATAGGTAAGCAATAAACATGGATTTTGCATGTACACAAACCCTTCCGCTTTTGAGAAGCAAATGTTTATCTTGATTTATTAGAATAAATCACAAATAATTGAACAGAATTAGAATAATTCTAATTATTAGTATGCATCATTCTGTGAATCCTGCTAAGATCTGCGTCCCGGCATGCACATTTTCAGTATATCTTGTGTTGAAAACAAGTGACATTTCATGGCCTCTGGCATTAATTGCAGCTGCACTCAGTATATATGAGCAGTACACAGACTATCTTTTTTTATTATTATTATTTCTGCAGATGCTTTTGATAGAGAATATAAAATGGCCTATGATCGTCTCACAGCAAATCAGGTCAAAAATACTCATAACTGTGACAGACCACCAAGCACTGGAGTGATGGAGTGCCGGAAGATTTTTGGAGAACCATACCTTTAAATAAGAAGTTGCAATGTGATGCAGTTATGTAAAATGCCACTTGGGTCACAAAGATCATCTCTCGGTCATTGGTGTTCAAAAATGTTTCCAATGTTACCATGGCAGAAGGCCCTGGAGAAATTAAGCCTGTAGACAGTTACAGAAATGGCTGTGGGGTGAGGAACGTGCCAAAAACCGTTTCCCTGTTCCTTCTCTGCTCTGCTGATCACTTAGTGAAGTGGGGGACCCCGACCTAAATTAAATTCTTAATGAGGAACAACCCTTAACAGTCCTTTGAGAACTTTTGGGAAAGACAGGCAAAAATAATGCACTGAAACAAGCATGAGCAAAGTAAATCCTGCAAAATCTCTTGTTTACATAGCATATTGGCAATGTGGTGAAAAGCAGACAGAGCTGTATTATATAGACTGGTCATTGTGTATAGCAAACTGATATTTTTTTAATTTTTTTTAATTACTATAGTGAATTTTAAAGGAACTTATTGCATAAGCAATACAGTGCTCTTTTGTTTCCTCTCAGTACGCTGCTGTTCATAGTAACTCATCCTGTTAGTTTTTGAAGTCATTTGTTTTCAAAGTAGTCTAAAATTTCAACACCACCCTAGAGAGCACTCTGGGGTCAATATTTCTCTTGTGCACATACAAAAGGATGTACTACCACTGCAGTCAGATGAAGTGTGGCAAATGTGTGTGAAGTGATGGTAACTAGCACACTGCTGGCTTTGTAAAAGAAGGTTTTTCTGTAGAGATCCCACGCCGAATTCTGCAGAGATCCCATCCACACATGGAAGGATCCCATGATGTATTTTGTGGGCATCCAACACTACTTAGCTGTCAGCTAAGATATATATATATATATGTATATACAGATATATATGACAAGGTGTATGGTACATAACTTACAAAACTATCTCCATATAATATGTACAGTACCACCTGTGTAGGTGTGTTTGAAATGCCCTAAGTACAGCACTTGGTTCATGCTTGTCCAAAGTTCCTTTTCTTTTTTTAATCAGAAACTAGATATGATAAGTATGCCGCATAAGATCCATAGGGAATGTAATCTACTAGGGTATATTGTATATAATTAGATGTATTTGGAATGTCTGATTGTTTTATTTCACAGGCCACATAGTACAACACAGTAACTCGTGTAAAGAAGAATGATGCTGCATAACTCCCCACCCTGGAGTCATAGCTTCTGACACATGCTTTAAAGGTCTAGAATTTCAGAACATGTTACATTCCCTCTCTCTCTCTCTCATGCATAGTGCAGTTCTACACATTCAAAAGTGGGATACATAAATAAGGTCTCATAGGTCCTATATGTTAGTACCTTTCCTCACCTCTTCCCATGGTGGAAGTGGAACCTTAAGTCTGAGAGATGGATGCTACTGAATTAGATGAGAACATCCTGTATTTTCTTGCATGCCACATGTACTGTTCCCCCTCATGATCAGTCCCTTAAATTGGGGTGTGCGTATTAAGTGGGGAAGCTGCTGGAAGGAAGCAAGTCTGGAGACACTATGTATGTCATGCAGGTCTACACGTGATCATCAGCTGCATCGCTATAGCTGGCACTCCCCCCATATAGCACGCCACTATGGTGACATAGTGGCAAAATCTAACCATGTGCCGCGTGCACAGTGCAGTAACGGCCTGTGACGTGTAGATGCACTCTGTGTCACACAACCGACCGTGGGTCTGGAAATTTTTTCTTGCATTCCGCCTTCTATAAACAGGATGCGTCTTTTATTTGAGGCACGTTGTATGCAAGAAAATACAGTACTTATCTGCTTTGATCCTATTGCTTTGCTTTCAGTTTGGGGTTTGTGTGTACTTGTGTTATGGTAATCCTGGTTGTTTACACTTAACAAAATTAATACCCACTTCTGTTTATAGTATCTTAATTTATTCCCATTAGTTTTTAGGCTGGGTTTGCTTGCCTACAGTTACTTCTAAGCTTCTCTAGTTTACGCGAGCTGTCGTACAGCAGTATTGAACTGGAAAGGCTCTACCTCCATGTGCTTGCTTCCCTTTGTGCAGCTCCAAACACTCTCACTGATTAGACTGGAACACTTGAGGGTCCATCGTATTCCCACTGAAGCAAATTGTAAAATGTTCATTGACTTCATTATTATTAAGTGGAAGTAAGATCAGGCCTTGAGGCGTTGACGCGAAGTGTTGCTGCTGTTGCGCACCAAAAAAAGCCAACAGCATCCTGGGTTGTATTAAAAACTACAACACTTGCAAATCAAGGAAGTGATTCTACTATTCAGTGCTGGTGAGGCCTTAGTCCTGTGTCCCATTTTGGGCCCCCAGCTCAAGAAGGACTAAGGGCCTGGGAAGGAGGACTTACAAGGAAAAGCTGAAAGAGGTAGGGTTATTTAGTCTGGGGAAGAGAAGACCTAGGCAGGATTTGGTAAGCCTTCAAATTCCTGAAGGGCGATTACAGAGAGGATGGAGATGAGCTTGTCTCGGTGAGTGTAGCAGACAGTGGCATCGCACAGGAAGGTTTTAGAATTTGTAGCACAGCAGTTTGATGCTACAAGCAGGATTCATCTCGACTCAAGTACAGTCCTGTTGGCTACACCTTTCCTGGAGTAATACCTCTTCTTTGACATGCTGCTAAATAGGAAGCTAGCTGAGCTCAGATTGTTCTTTGTTTGAGGTACAGCTAATAATATCACATTGTCATCTGTTTATCTGAGGATGCTTTATTTTGCAGTTCCCACTTCTTTAAAATGTTCTTCCCTCATGTGGCGTAGCTACTGTGTAATCACCCAGCTCCACAATAACTCCCTCGGTATGCGGTAAATACACGCTCACTTCATTCTTCTCAACCCATGTGCTGAATCCACAGTAACTGCTTTCACACCTACTGGCTGTAAGTACCCAGTAACGTGCATGCCTGTGCTGCAGCTTGCAGTGGCTACATCGTACTTGCCAAGTAAAAGGTGCATACAATAGTTGTCTTGTTGGTGCATGATTGCCCTCTCGTTGTGCTGTGCGGAAGTGTCCACAGCCCTTCTTGATCCCATTTTGTTCTGCACTTACTACTACTTGAGCCAGTGTTTTATAACTATAATACCTGATCCTTTATACCTGATAGCTATGAAGGAGGATAGGTTGTTTCCTCCAGAGCCACCACTGATTGGTGTTGCAGGGATGTGTAGACAGCTGCAAGGCGGGCTCCACCCCTTCACATTTTAGACTGGCTCAAGTCTAGTCCCAGAGCCAAGTCTGTCTTGCTGGTTCCTTCTGCAGCAGCTGGGCACTTGTGCTGACACGGGAATACATCGGCATTTCCCATTCATGTTTGGTCTTCCCCTTTTGGCCCAGCACATGAGTACTATCTACCACCTTCGTTTTAGAAGCCCAGACAAGTCTGCCAGCTTGTGCAGATCTGAGGGGTGCTATCAGGATTGCTAAGAGCACACACCATAGCATGAGGAACGGTCTGTGAAATTTTATTTTGGGTGAGCAACTCAAAGTGTGCCGGCCCCTTCTGCTTGCATCTCAGACACCTGGCTGATGCTCATTTTGTGCAGGCTCTAAGCAAATGCCTTGTTGGACTTTCCTTTATCAAGTGAAATCATTACGCTTACCTTTGGAATAATCCTTTCACAGCCCGCTGCAAGGCATCCCGCTGCAGAAACACATACGAGTCCATTGGCAATACTAACCTACTTGTAGATAAATGGGAAGCTGTTACACCTTGGGGTAGGTCCTGGAAGGCAGAAGGTTTTTAAGCATCATACAATCCAATATTGAAATAATTTTCAAACCTCAGTTTTTTATTGAAAAGAAATCAGTTTGATTCTATTTTCCAGTACTCCAAGGATGAATAAATGAGAATATTTGAAACATGTATTTTCTATTTAAAATTTTGTACACTGTCAAACCCTTTTCTTCTGTATAATGAACAGTGTTTCTTTCCAATAACTTTAAACGGGTTTTTACATTTGCAGTGCAATATACTTGCATTTTTCCTGGATTGCACTGTAGCAGCAGAGGGAAAACCGGTATTAGAGGGAAAACTAGCAAAATACTATTGAGACCAAATTATTTCTCCATGACTGCTAAATAGTGCCCATTGCCATGAAGTTTGCTCTCGATACAATTCTGGCCTTTATAAATAAGATGGATTCTTATGTTTCCACTGAAATTCATTAAATCTTTTCTTTTTACCCCAAAATTAAAAAAAAAAAAAGGGAATAGAAAA